CCCGCCAGCTCAGGTGTATGTGGCTGGCGCCCTAGCCACTTGAGCCACAGGTGCCGAGCCATGCTTGGATCTTTTATAAGTTCTCTGGACTTTTTTAATCTGGATAAAATAAGGGGAGGTAGACTATATCAGTGGCTTTAATGTTTTGTTTTAGTAGTATAATTTTGCAGGGTTTTTTTCGATTAATTTTATGTGGAAGCTCAACACATACAACTCAATGAAACAAAACATTTATGATGGACATGAGGAATAGTACCCTAGCAATTGCTTGTCTTCTCCCTCCATACCTCATGATACCCCTCCACGCCACAGAACTTTCTGAGATCTCTATAGTCCTGTGAATTAGGTTAACTAAGAGTCATATCAAATTCCAAGGTGCTACATGTAATACATTATTTAATCCGTCTCTGCCTCATTGGCGAATGATAAGTAAAATGACAGATGATAAGATTACTTTAGAATCCTCTAGCAGCTACCGATGTCCTTAAACAGAAGATGGAACAAAAAGGGGGAACAGGAAAGAGTAGAATAATATATAACAGATAGCAGAGTCTAATTCCTTCAGTTACTCCTTCAGTGACACAAGTGACACTAGCTCTTGGGACCTCTTAACACAGTGCTGCACAATTCACACTTTGTTGTTTTGTCTGCTTCTGCTTCCTTAGTCTTATTTGAACTGAATATCAACAATGCTAGATAATGCTCTTTGTTCTGAAGTCATAATAATTTTTTTTCCTTTTCAAATTTATTTTAATATCAGTACCATTTCCTCTGTACAGATATATAGTAATCCTCTAAGGAATGCTTAACTATTCAGAAAAGGAACTCAGAGCCAGGCAGAATAGAAGTCATAATAATTTATTCCTGTCAACTCCCGTCTCTTTTTCTTTAAAATGCTGTATTAGTTTTCTATTGCTGCCACAACAAATTACCACAAACTCAATGGCATAAAGAACACAGGTTTTTTGCTTACAGCTCTATAGATCAGGAGTTTGACAACAGGCCTAACGAGCCAAAATCAAGTTGTCGGCAAAGCTGCATACCTCTACTGAGGCTGTAATGGAAAGTCCCTTGTCTTTCGTTTTCCAGCCGTTAGAAGCTGCCTGATTCTATGGCATGTGGTTCTCTTTCCCCCATCTTCAAAGTCCTCACAAAGCATCTTTTGCAGGCTGCAAAGGTGCTCCCCTTTCAAAGAACTTATATAATTAGAATGGGTCCAACTGGGTAATCCACTATAACCTTTACAACTCAATATCCTTAAGTATAATTATATCTACAGAGTTTCTTTATCATGTAGGATAAACACAATTCACAACTTCCATGGACATCTTTGGGGGTCATTATTCTGCGTATTATAAATTCACCCAACCAACAAACAAAAAACCTGGAAACATAATACGGTTGACCCTTGAACAATGTGGGGGCCTGTGCAGTCAAAAATCCATGTATAACTTTTGACTCCCCCAAAACGTAACTACTAATAACCTACTGTTGACTGGAAGGTTTACTGATAACACAAATTGTCAATTAACATCCATTTTGTATTTTGTTTGCATTATGTACTGTATTCTTACAATAAAGTAAGCTTGAGAAAAGAAAATCTATGAGTAGTCTCAGAAGGAAAAGACAAAGAAAGCAGCTACAAAACAAGAACTGGAACCTATATCACGGGAACTTTGGAAATTAAAAATATGATAGCAGAAATGAAAAACTCAATAGCAGAATGAGAAGCATGGAAAGATAATGTTGAGTGAATCTCCCCAAAGTAGAGCTAACGATCTAAGAAAAGGAAAGAAAAAAAGGAGAAGAATTAGGGGAGCTTATGTTCCAGAGAGAGAGGGGGAGAGAGGGAGAAAGGAAGAGGGAATGAAGAGGAGGAGAGAGGGGCAAGGGATGGGGGGAAGTTGGTGGCAAGAACGAAAGCAGAAAGCAAACTGTCAAGTTGTGAAAGTTACCAAGAACCAAAGAACATGAATTTCTAGACTGAAAGGGCCCCACTTAATGTCCAGCATGTAGTGAAATTTTTTAGGCTATTCTCAAAAAAAAATTTTTTTTTTTAGATAGAGTCTCACTTTGTCACCCTGGGTAGCGTGCTGTGGCATCACAGCTCACAACAACTTCAAATTCTTGGGCTTAAGTGATTCTCCTGCCTCAGCCTCCCAATTAGCTGGGACTATAGGCGCCTTCCACAGGCCCGGCTATTTTTGTTGTTGTTGTTGTTGCAGTTGTCATTGTTGTGTTAGCTGGCCCAGACTGGGTTCAAACCCACCAGCCTCTGTGTGTGTGGACATCAACATTTTTTTATTCTATTTTCCTAGTGTTCTTCTGTCTCATAACTACTTTTAAGAATAGAACTCATGTTATTATAAAATTTGCATTTCAAAGGTTGCTTAGTAAGTAACTTCTTATAGTTAAGAAGTATCTTTTTTACATTTTTATGAATAATAATGTGAATACTGTTATATAGGCTGATGCTGCTGCTGATACTTAACATGGTTTTTTAACCTAACTATACCTAAAAATAGTTGTATTGAACATGTACTTGAAATTTTTCAAAATTGATCTTGGAAGTGTTTGTGTTAATGATTGATTTTGTGCCAATATTTTAAAGTTTGCATTAATATTAATATAAGTTAATAATATAATTTAATTAATATAATTTATAAACATTGAGTAATGTTAATCTGGTTCTGAAGCACTGATTTTTTGACAAGTGTTGGAGGTCTCATCACTTTGGTGAAATAAGGCAAATAAACAACATATTATTTATTTATTTATTTATTTATTTATTTTTGAGACAGAGCCTCAAGCTATCCCCCTGGGTAGAGTGCCATGGCATCACAGCTCACAGCAACCTCCAACTCTTGGGCTCAAGCCAGTCTCCTGCCTCAGCCTCCCAAGTAGCTGGGACTACAGGTGCCTGCCACAACACCCGGCCATTTTTTAGTTGCAGCCGTCATTGTTGTTTGGCGGGCCCAGGCTGGGGATTCGAACCCGCCACCTTAGGTGTATGTGGCTGGTGCCTTAGCCGCTTGAGCCATAGGCGCCAAGCCAACATATTATTTATAAAGCTAAATTTATTCAACCTAAGGACTTTATTCTTTATGTCCTTTCTACTTTCTCCTGGTATTGGAATAGTCTTTCTTTTTTACAAGTGATGTAATATAGATAGTCACATTTTTTTTTTTGTCAGATTTTTTTTAAAACATGCTTTGATGCCAAAATTAGTCCAAAATTCTTCAAAATACCAGCCAGCCAAGTGCAATGGCTCATGCCTATAATCCTAGCATTCTGGGAGGTTGAGGCGGGAGGATTGCTTGATTGAGCTCAGAAGTTCGAGATTTGCCTGAGCAAGAGTGAGATCCTGTCTCCATGAAAAATAAAAAAGCCCAGGCAATCACTATGGCAGGTACCTGTAGTCCCAGCTATTGGGGAGGCTGAGGCAAGAGGATCACTTGAGCCACAGAGTCTGAGGTTGCTGGGAGCTATGATGCCACTGCACTCTACTCAGGGCAACAGAGTGAGACTCTGTCTCAACAAAACAAAACAAAAAGGCAACTGCAAAAATACCAGCCTGGCATGTTGGCATGCTCCTGCAGTCCCAGCTACTCAGGAGGTTGAGGTAGGAGGATTGCCTGAGGCCAGGAGTTTAAGTCTGTAGTGCATAATGATCACACCTATGAATAACCACCGCATTACAGCCTGGACAACAAAGTGAGGCCTTTCTGGCAACTTACACTTGGAAATAAATAATGTAGTCAATGCAGAATTCCTTCCCTGAAACTTAAAAAATAATGGTGCTTAAGGAGGAGGATTTTTAAAACTGTATTTTATTTAATATTGACCTGTTTATTCGATGTGTTGATTGTTAGAGAAGTCATAAAAAATTAAAAAGAAGAAACTTTGTAATTAGCTCATGTATGAAAAAGAAATCCTTATCTCTTACTTACATTTGTAATTATGTGTCTCATAATATTTATCTTAGGTAACTTGTAAGCCAAGCCAAAACTCATCATCTTGTTTCAAAGTCACTGTTTCTGTTGCTGATCCCTTTTCTTCCAACATTGCAAATATCCCAAGGAATTTGGTTAATGAGATATTGGAGGAACTGGAGCACAGCGTGCCTCTCTTGGAAGTGTATCCTGTGGAGGGACAAGACGCTGATATACGTGATATTGCTCTGGCCTTGGAAGTTGTAAGGTATTAGGGCCCTTTCCCTTCTGAAAATTTAAAGAATCGCATTCAAAAGTTAATGTGTACATTTTGCTCAGGTAAATATTTTATAAATATTCATTAATTTAACTCTTACTCACTTCTGGATTGTTTATCCAGGTAAGATTTTTGTCTCAGTTGTAGAGGCATGTTAAAAAAACGATAAAACACCACATTGTATTTTTACCTCTTAGTTCTAGATTCACAGAATTATAGTACATAGATAATGAAAAAGTTGTCATTACCTATAGTATATAGGTAATGAAAAGTTGTCAATTATAGTACACGGGTAATGAAAAATTGAAAAAACAAGTTTGAGAAATAAGTTAACGTCTCTTCATACTTAAGCAAGTTATATACATTAGAACTTACTTTTCACATTTAAGGGCATTACAAATGCTATATATCATCATCCACATTGTGATTGCCTCTTATAAGTTGATACAATTAGAAGGAAGCTATTGATAAAATATAGACTATTTTATGGCATGTTTCTGTTTTTCTTTTCTGTTCTTTTTGTTGTTGTTGTTGTTGTTGCAGTTGTCATTGTTGTTTTAGCTGGCCCGGGCTGGGTTTGAATCCGCCAGTCCCAATGCCCTACCCACTGAGCAATGGGTGCCACCATGTTTCTGTTTTTCTGTTTTTCTAATGCTTCTTCCTCTCCCAACAAATTTGGCTGTCTTTTTTAATACGTATTATTTCTTTGTTGGACAAAATTGTAACCAAAATTGTAACAGAAACCTAGATTTTACAATCCCACTTCCAGAAACATTATCTTGGTATTTGCAGTAACCTAAATTAGAATCCGGATTACTGGATATTTAAAAGTTTTACCTTTTATTTTAGTTCACTGCAAGGTCATTTAAAAATATGTTTCTTGGCTCAGCACCAGCCACATGCACCAGCCAGGCCCGGGCCAGCTGAACAACAGACAACTGCAACAAAAAATAGCCGGGCATTGTCATGGGCACCTGTAGTCCCAGCTACTTGGGAAGCTGAGGCAACAGAATTACTTAAGCCCAAGAGTTGGAGATTGCTGTTAGCTGTGATGCCACAGCACTCTACCCAGGGCGACATAGTGAGACTGTCTCAAAAAAAAA